CTGATTTGCGAATTTCACTATCTGTTTTATGTAGAATAGAAAAGAAAATACAATTTTTTTAAAAAGACTTCTTGATAAGAAAACAAATTGACTTTTGACTATTTGTTTGTTTCAGATTTTTCGCCTGTCTTTGTGGCACCACCTATCAGTGCAGAATTCCCTTGACTTTTGGTATGGGATCAAATTACATTTACGACACATGCGATGTAGAACAAAATGGCCAAACCTCCTCTAGTGAGGTTTTCATTTGTAGAATTGACGACCTAAATAATTTACAACGTACATATTTGAACTGCAGTCGTGGGCAGCCATCTTGTGATAACTGCTGACATTTTAATTTCACATCCAGCCAGTGTAGTGGTCAGACAACACAAGTCAAAAGGGTATCGACGCAATCAGCGAAACTAGAATTTAATTCCTACAAAATTGACCTCGTCTGCAGCTCTTCCAATGTGCAGTGTGTCCACAAAAGTGAATGCAATATTACAACACACATCACAGAGAATGCCGTCAAGTATATCACCATAGAAGCACCAGTAAACATAGCATTAGCTGTCGTGGTTGCATGTTTATCACTTGTGATTGTGATAGTTCTCATCGCTTTATTTTTCGTGAGACGCAAATTAAATCGAAAACAACAAACATCGGAGTTACGACACAGTCTAAGCGGCATCGTGTCTTCAGATAATGTTGGTAGTCAGAATGCTCAAACCTACTCTACTACAGAATATAGCAGCACGTTAAGCACCAACTCCTACTACGTTCCAGACGACGACGTCAAACCAAGCGTCCACACATACTCAGCTTTAGATGCTGAACTCATGTCTGAAGAGAACCACTATCTACATGTGACCAGCGACCAACAAGAGGTCAGTAACTAGCCAGAAACACAACTGTAAGCTCTAATGAAGACACAATGTTTTGTCCGATGAACTTTTCGTGGAATGATCATTGTTATAACTATATATTTTGTGCAAAACCATGTCTAAAGTAACCATATTAATTTTGTTACCGAAAGATGCTAAGAATGTCCATATCGGAACCACAAATATTAATTACCTTACATTATGCATTCCTTGCTATCCATTTTTAGCCCACCTATTTTTAATGACAAAACGTGATAGCAGCTGCTGTAAACACTGGCTTTCGCTTTTGATGTCCGTAGATATTTATTTTTAAGGGAAAAATCAGATGCGATAAGAAAAATTAAATAAAATAAGCGTATATGATTAAACATTAAAACATTATGTAAACAACGTAAGTATAAAAACCAAATAATCGGTAAGAAAATGAACTCAGTTATGGCTGATAGAAAAAAAATGGGTGCCTTATCGTTTTGCTAAATTTTGCATAGACATTTTTTGGGAGTTTTGGGGAATTAGTTTGTATATCTGCACTTAAAATGTCTAGCTGAGTACCCCAAAATATGGTAGAAGGTGATGAATTCATTGTTTATGGGCCTTAAAATATAATATTTTATGAATGGTTGATATCCTACAGAGGTTATTTTTCAAGATGGTCGCCGTTGTCATAGTTACCAAGATTTTCCGACCACTTTTTTAATAGAAACACATATGCGGGAGTATCTTTAAAAAACAGTAGAGAGAAAATTATTTGCTCTCTAGTATTAAAAGTATTGTATTTTTTAAAAATGTAACTGGATCCTACACCCGTAAACCGTTTTTTCAATGGCAAAAATTCATACGTAGATAACTGTTGTTTGGTTGTTACAAAGCAACTTGTGAAAACAATAACTGCTAAAAATACGTGTGTAGAAAAATTTAATTTAACATAGTAGATGAATGAAAATTTGAAAGCAGGTGAGGTTTAGTTTATTTTCTTTTAGGTTAGAAACTCACATAGTTACCGTCTGAAATAACAACATCATTATATTAAGTTAAAAAATGTCCTCTCAACAATTACACGTGGACAGAAATAGATACTTGAGATACTCCCTTCGTTTGCATGATGCGCATTTAATTTTTTGCTTAAAAAATAAACTAAATGTGTGCTCTATTTTTGTTGAAAACGTTTGTATTTAATATAATTAAATTAATTTTTTGTCTGTGGCTTAATGATGTTTTTTTCTATATTGCGGGCCCCTAACCTTTTTGTAGAAACTTAACCTACATCTCAGTTTTAGCTGTTTAGATGAATGAATATTTACATTTCATCCGTAATCCAGTTGACGACACAGCTAAGACAGATCCACCGAGAAAATAAAATTGTTTTTAAATTAGCATTTAGTATAATATATACTTATATCTATATTTATTTTTAGCATAATGAAACGAAATTACTTAAAAACGACAAAGGAATGGAATGTGTTATTGTGAGGCAGAACACACTATATTTAAATGGAAATTTATTCATTTCCTGACACGGATATTTTACATTCCACCAGATCTAATGGATACCTGACGTGACTTAATAAAGAAACAAAACGGTTAAGCAGAATGTGAACCGCCCAAACTAACTATGCCCTATGTATACTATACCTAATACCCATTTACTCAATCCCCATTCCCCCTCACTTTGTGTTATCATTCTCTTAGAATATATTTTGCAAAGACCTATAGGGCCTACCTGTAGACACTGATCAACAACAATTAATTTCCTGCTTGGAAAAGGAACACCTAAACATGCTATAAATAGATTATCTATGTTAACTTTTGAACAGTTACGCACGTATACAGCATAGACTAATCAGGATTTATATTATAAAAATGAATTTTAAAAAATAGTGACATTACTTTGATGTTTAGCATGCAACTCCGACTGTATTGCTTTTACCAAACAAATACATTTATGCATAATTTATATATGAGCTATGTAAACTGTTTATCAAACAATTGACACTTTTAGATATATATGAGGTATGTAAAGTAACAAACTAAATTTTCCTATAAAATTATGTTGTGTTTATTTTTGAATGCCATTGCCCATAGCCAAGCTCATGCTCATGCTCATGCTCAGACTAGGCTTTAGGTTTAGGTTTAGGTTTAGGTTTCCCTTTAGCTTTAGTTTTACATATATATATATATATATATATATATATATATATATATATATATATATATATATATATATATATATATATATATATATATATATATATATATATATATATATATATATGGCCTTAGGTGCTTTGACCACAGGTGCTGTGACCATAGGGGCTTTGACCACAACGGAGCTTTGACCACAGGAGATGGGAGGTTAACCATAATATATAGATTTTAAAATATAAAATAGAAACTGTTATTTCATTTAAATTTATGATACAATTTACACGATTTTATACATGTTTCCAGAGAGTCCATTAATGAAATGAACATGTACTTAAAAAAATTCAATAACTCATAGATTTATTTTAAGTAAATATGGAACACAAATAATGAGACATAAAAAGTTTCACAAATAAATAATGTAGATGTACCTGGCAATACATAGCATACATTAAGGATAAAAAAAAATCATGTCAACAGCAAAATCAAAGAAGTAATACTTGTATGGTTAAATAAATGACAGATGTGCTATAGCACCCAAATATGTCAGTACATCTGTTTGAGCTTATGTTGAACAGCATGTTGTAATTTTTAATTTTACTTGCATTTTTCTGTATAGCTTCTCAGCTGGGTAGCTAACACCTGCGACAACTTGCAAGAAAGTTGTCTTTTGCCGTGTTCAGTCCATATGTAGACCTTAAAGGAAACGCCACATTGTTGGGTGACTACATTGGACGATAGACTCAAGACTGTTATACCATCCTTTACAAATGTTATTTGTTCGTGCTACACTATCGCCAATCGTGTGTATTTGATTCCAATTTTTTTAAATTAATCCGTACCATATATGGACAAATTGCTTGTTATCAAACGCCCGCATTAGACAAACCACCTGTGATCAAAGACCCTCTGCTGAGAAAACACCTGTGGTCAAACACCCGGTGGTCAAAGCCCCTCTGTGGACAAACCACCTATGGTCAAACCCCCTATGGTCAAAGCACCTGAGGTCAAAGGTCCGCTCACCATATATATATATATATATATATATATATATATATATATATATATATATATATATATATATATATATAATTTTAAAACTGGAGTATAATAGCACGCAAGGATGAAACCCATACTTGAAATCTTAATGGCTAGGTTTTCTAAATGTTTGAACATAGACTGATACAATGTTAAAATAGTGTTCAATAAATTTTCTTTCATACAGAGGTGCGAATACAACTGATGATGCTAGTTTATTTTAAAGTAATTATTGCTGTTACAACATCGTCCACATCTTAACTAACCTGACGACCCAATAGGAAACACCTTACTATATACACAACAATAAGTACAACACTACCATCCACTACCATGAAACAAGGAACTTCTGTTAAAACAAACTTTTATACGTATTTGACAACCCGCACTATTGACCCTATGACAACCCATCTGTCATTCACCCAAGCTGTGTCCAATGAATCTGTGATGCTATGGATGGTCACATAAGTTAATCAACATTGTGCTAATATAGTTTAGACAAAGCCATTCATTAATTCGTAAGTTTTAAAAATTGTACTTTTGTAATCAAAAAGAGTATATGACTATTTAAAGATTTTATCATTTGATTTCTTTGATATGATTATCAAATCATTTTGATTTATGTGTATTTATCGTGGCGAGCATATATCTCTATATAGTAGGTACATATTTTTAAAAAATGTCTTTAAAGAAATATTTCTTATAAATGCATGACTTACTTCGCAAAATGTTATTCCATAGTTAGCCGAATTGTCTTCCCACATAATCAAGCACATACAAGCCCGGAAACTACGACCGACAAGTCTACCTACACATACATATAGTGTATTATGTAATTTTTGCATTTTACATTAAACATTATTCTTTAAAAACACACGCCTGCATATTTCTTACACGATTCTATATTCTCAAGTGTTTCACTGACTTAAAAAAAAATTAAAAGAGGACACTACAATCAGAATACACGTCTTTATTCAACTGTTTCCAGTATATAGACAAGTCGTCTAAGCAGTTTCTTGGACAAATGTCGAGTGTCGGCAGTACATTGTTTCTTTCTGTGCAGACGTGTCTTCCCCAACTGTTTTCTGTGGTAAAACACAGTTTTCATTAAGATCAGTTCATTTTTCTCGAAACCTATAAAACGTGAGCTTACAATTTTTAAAGACGTTACATTCAGTTTCTTCCAGGCATTTCTTCATTCTACCGCCCGCCGCCCCCCCCCCCCCCCCGAATGAAATGAAATTTGTATAATTTATATGGAAAATATATACTTTTAACAGTGTCCGCCCCCCCTCCGAAGAAAGTCTACCGCCCCCCCCCCGGTGCCCCCCCGGAGAAAAAATCTGGAAGAAACACTGGTTACATTTGGGATTAATAATTATCATTTGATCAGTAGTGTTGGTAATACATCATTTTTTAAAAATTAAAAACAAAATAAGTTATCATAATAATAGGTAAAATATGAACCAATAACACTCACATTCATGACATTTAAGATAGACAAATTTGTCCACCGGAAAGTTGTTTATGTCAACAGTGTCTCCAGCCGTATAAGTATGAACACATAAAAGGTTGGGGATGTAGTGATAGCCGATACAATCGGGATCTTCAAGGCAAAAGGTAAAACAAGCCTGTAAGAGAAGTGCAAAAAATCCTCAATAGATGAAGAGTTAAATCCATAGTAAAGCTAAGATTATCGGTGAAGAAGATATAACTCAATACAATACGTTCATGGGTAAATAAAGAACTAGAAACTCTTTTGTTTTGAAAGTTTTTACGAAAAAGCTCAATATGCAGAGCTTTCTTAAACACACACACACACAAACACACACATATATAAGTATATACATATGTGTGTGTTTGTGTGAGAGAGAGAGAGCGGGTGAATGATTTATTTGTTTTGTTATTTTAATTATTTAGTGTGCGAATCTTTGTGAGAATGTTACTTCCGGTTACTGACTATTGAAGCCGGTACGCTGGGTTTTCGATCCTTTTTTTTCCCCTGATCGAAAGCGAGAGAGGATGGGCTAGGCAGGAGATATTGTGTGTGGTAGGCTCTTTGTGGCGGATGTATTAGTGAATTAGTTTATTTTTATATGTGTGTTTTGTATGAAACCAGATCTTGCCCATGCACCGTGCCCCTTCTCTCCACACAACTGATTGACACAAAGAACAGGGTTTGCCTGTACAGATAGGAATCAAAAGTGTCGCAGGAGATGTTGAAAGGAAACCCGTGTTGGTAATCCTATTGCTACTTCTGTTTGATTTCGGTGTTAACTCTCCTAGATGGGTTGCTTCCTACAGCTGACGAGTCTCATCTTCAAACTCATGTTCAAGCTCGAAACTTACGGGTTAGCGAATTGAGATTACCCGCCCGACCACTCCGACCGACCCCCGACTGGATTCGAACTCGAGACTTACAGGTTAGCAGTCAAGATCTCTACCGCTAGGCCCCTCCTTATCATTCCATACGTATCAAGGATAGATTAAGCTAAGGCTGCCTTCCTCAACATAAAAATATATGGACCCCAGCATGGCTGCATTTGAAAACCAATCAAACATAAAGCCTGTTTTACTGTAGGGAACAGAGAGGTGTTCATCTTAAACTACCACGGAGAAAGTACAGATTTTCACCAACAGCTGTCAAAGAAGAGTTCTATGTATCTGACTTTCTGGTCAGACACTATTATTGGGGTTAGCGTGGTGGGTTCGGTAAAGCTTATTGTTGCAAGGGCCTGGTAGTTTATTCTTGTAAAGGGCACAGGCTATTGTAGAATATGCAGAATGAAAAGTTGGCTGAAGTCGGAGTCATTGTGTAGGACAGGGGTCGGCAACCTGCGGCTCGCGAGCCGCATGCGGCTCTTTTCATGTCAAGATGCGGCTCTTCAGCTCGATGCACAAATATTAATAATTATTTGATTTTATTTTTAAAACTCATTAATGTATTAGTCTGCGACCCTCGGTAATGAACTTTCAATTTGACGCCCCCCCCCCCCTCAAACTTTCAATTTGTTTTTCCAACCCATTTTGGCGCCCCCTAAGGCCGGCGCCCGGGGACATGTGTACCCCCCGCCCCCCACCCTTTGATACGCCTCTGATTTCAGTGTACTTCCTTGTTTTTTAATAACTAAGTTATTTAAATGTAAATGATGCCTGTGTTTGCATCATATTTATTGGGGCACTGGTTTCCTACGCTACCGCCCACCACCGCAATATCACCGTTAATCCCTCATAGCAATATCACCGTTAAATCACTCACCGCAATATTACTGTATATCACTCACCGCCTAAGTGTCGAGGACGGAAAGTGGCGCTCTCGTGAACCCGATTACACAACTGCAGGGGCGTCGCGTACGGCCCCTAGCTCGGTTTAATCATCGAATGTCGTTTTGTAGGATACTCTTAAAAACTAAGGTAGGCGCGTAGTGCTCGCGGGATAGCCCTGAGCTCCAAATTGCACCCTGCAGAGACGCTGGAGGCTGAGACTGATTCGATTTAATGAGAGAATATAGCAACCCATTGTATCTATAGCCTATCGCGCTGTTTAAAATGAACGTATTGTTTCCCATCGTGTCTATAGTGAAAAGCCTTTTTTGAAAAACAAACTTAGGCGCCTTAGTCCTCGCAGGTGAGTCCCTTACCAGCTATGCATAACATAGCCGCTCTGGAACTCTTGGCGCCAAAACGTGTATTGACAAAAATGCACCACCCGGGTGCGGCCATGAGAAATTTTAATTTTTTTCGCAGAAATCTTCACGGGAGTAGGCCTATTCTCATCTAAACTTTCATGGCACTCGGATGAACGGTGTTGAACCGCAGAACCGAATCCGACTTTTTTTTACCGCATATAGAGAAAAATAACACCCTCCAGGGGCGCCGCCCATGCGAAATTTAAAAAGATTTTTTTCACGAACCTCCCCTGCAGTGTTCTAATCAACATCTTAAAGTTTCGTGGCGATCGAATGAATCGTGTCAATCCGCAATCAACTTTTTAAAAAATATACCGTATATAGAGAAGAATCGAACCGCGACCTGCCGGGGCGCCACCCCTGCGAATTTGAACAACTTTTTTTCATAGAAACCTCCCCAGGAGTATTCTCAACAACTTAACTTCCCAAAGTTTCATGGCTATCGGATGAAAGGTGTAGTAATACATAAAAGGAAAACTGACACACAAACACAAACACACATGCATTGCTTTATATATATATATATATATATATATATATATATATATATATATATATATATATATATATATATATATATATATATATATATATATATATATATATATATATAACCAAATCCTATTAAAATAAAAATGGTGGCTCTTTGAAAACTGGGAAATTTTGTAAATTGTAACTTTTGGCTCTTCTGCCTCAAAAGGTTGCCGACCCCTGGTGTAGGAGGATATCCCGTACAGTATAATTAAGAACGAAGAAGACACCATCAATGAATTGAAAGTTAAGTTGGACCATCTTATCTTATCTTAATACTACTAAAAGTCAAGTTTGTTTACATGTTTGAATATTTATTTGTTTGTTTGTTTGCCTGATCGACTATTGCTCATGGTTGCACTCATCGTGGAAAGCTGTAAAATAGTATGTAGGTAGAGAAAATTTTTTGTTTTAAGACAGACTGTTAATCACAAATGTATTTAAAGACGTTAATTAATTTATTGATTTATTCATACGTACAGTAACCCATTTTTTTTAAAAAGATTTGAAAAGCCACTAGACTCGACGGAAACAGTGACGTCACATGATGTGTTTATTTTTTTACATCGATAATGGCGGCCTATCGAAGAAGATTGTGTTCCCATTCCAATGTTTAACGCGTTCTAAAGCTAATTTTCTGTCGGCTTTAACTTTAACAATACGTCCGTTTGCTGTATTTATTACGTTCCAACACTTATATCAATTTTCAACTGTCTTTTTCATTTAGTTTTACAATAAATTTCTCTAGGTCTAAAGATCAGCTGTCGAAGGAAAGTTATTTATAGATCTAGATCTAGAATCTAGAATCTAAAAATCTAGGTCAAATCCAAGATTTATTAGTTATAAATACAATAAAAAAAAACGAAACTTTAGCAAACCAGTCGTAGATCTAGAATATAGATAATTCTATCTAGATTTAGATAATAAAATGAGTTTCTATATACTAAACTATTTTAGACCTTTATTATTTTATATAAATCTTTTTTTGTATAGCTATGAAATATGCTAATTAGGAAATGCTGGATGCGGGGCCTATTTGCATAACTTAAGATTCATACGCGGCTTCTATACCGCTAAGTGTGCAAAATTATAGACGTAAACTCTAGATATAGCTCAGTCGTAGATCTAAAATATAGATAATTTTCTATCTAGATTTAGATAATAATGATTTTCTATATACTAAACTATTTTAGACCTTTATTATTTTATATAAATCTTTGTTTGGAATATGGTAATTTTGAAATGCTCGCTCCGGGCCTATAAGCGTAGCTAATGATTAGATCTAGATTCTAGGTCTAGCAAGAAAAACTAAACATAAGAAGACTTAAGCAAAAGAGTCGTAGAATCTAGAACTAGATCTAGATAATTCTATCTAGATCTAGATAATTTCAGACCTTCTTTATTTTATATAAATCTTTGTTTGGCTAATTTAAGATAAAATTTAATTTGAAAGTTACTACTACTAGAGTTAGATCTAGATCTATGCGCGTAAGGAGACTCAAAGTATAGTATAAAACTTCACTTGTAATGTCACGAGTAAATAGCTAACTTGATAGTGAGGTCGGCTCTCATGTGGGTGGCACAGGTTCTAGACCAATTCGTCAATGATTTTTTTTTTTCAATTTTTTTTTTAGATGTGAATAATAAAGTTGCCTATCTGAACTTGGCAGGATACAGGGCTGGTGAAGTAGAGTTTGTCTGTTTCTTTGTCCTAAGCATATGAAAGGATAGTGTGGTCAGAGACATGCTCGGCTTGAATCGTTTTTTAAACGATAAAAACATGTTGTCTAAGACTTGGCGGGACACTGGGCAGGTGAAGTAGAGTTGAGTAGGTCACCTATGAAGTCAGTATATGAAGGGATAGTCCGAAATCGGTGTTTTCGGTGTTTTTAAAAGATAAAAAACAATTTTTTGAAAGTGGGGTCTGTTTTTTTTTTGACGATAAGTGACACTGCAGTAGCGTAGCGAGGAGGGGGGGGGGGGCGGGAGGGGAGGCGGGGGGGGGGGGGGGAAGGGGAGGTGGAGGGAGGTGGAGGGGGGAAGGGGGTGGCGGGGGGACATATGTTGGGGCGCCAAAATGGTTTGGAAAAATAAATTGAAAGGTTGAGGGGGGTTCAAATCGAAAGTTTGAGTGGGGGGGGGGGGGTGCACATCAAAAGTTTGAGGGGGGGGGTTGAAAATTGAAATCTTGGGAGGGGGGGGTTAAAATCGAAAAGTTTGTCCCCGGGCGCCAGGAAGGGTCGCTATGCCTCTGAGTGACAGACGTGATGTTTTTTGATGGATGACCCCCGAAACCCACAGTTATCCAACGGATGACGGGTATTCTAGTACAAAATAAAATTTAAAAAAAAAACACGAACAAGCGAAGTAAAGGGTGTAAAAACATTACCAAACACGTTTTAAACTGAAACCCATAAAGCAAGCGAAGAAAAATAAGTCCAAAAATAATTGGCTATTGGTTGGTAATAAGTAAAAATATAAAACTGTTTTCTGATACAATTCTTTTATGACGTTCTTACAAATCTAGATTTATGTGAAAATATGTAGGCCTATGTCTAAATTTAGATAACTTTACCTCGTGACCCTGTTCGGTGACGGGTACATTATTATCTACATCGCTTTTTAAAGTGCACTGAGCTACATAGAAAAAAATACATTTTTTAAAAGCATACACAACAAAATGATTTTATTTGATACATTAGCAAAACATTCAGACAAAAGATATAGTTTATCTAATAATCCATTTAAATATTTACAATGCAGGCTACATACTTTCCGATTTTCTTTTAAAACAATCTGCCAGAATACTCATATTTGCATTTATAGTTACATTTGTAAAAAATTGAAACCGTTTGGGAACCATCGATAACACTTATTTTTATATGTTTCTATCAAATATAAGCTTTTAAAAGCTTTTTAGAATTATTTTATCAGTTCATATAACAAAAACTGCACTCCACCTCTCCTTGAAGTCAACGGGAATGGTCAGGGAGAGTAAAACAATAAAAGTCAGAACAATTGTTTTCCATAATAAAAATACACAATAGTGATCTACGGTGTTTAGTGTAGAATTGTATTTATAATACATAATATAACATCCCCAATCACCACGACACCCAGAATCTACTCATCCAAATTAAAAATAAAAGTGTTGTGCCTAATTACTATTATATTACTAACAATTACTTCCCTGAGTGTTTCTAGCCTTAATAAAACCGGAAGTAATTTTGTACTTATTTCACAAATGTTATACAATATTCAATTTTGGATTAAAAAAATGCGTTCTGGCAACAAAAATTTGGAACTATTTGAAACCAGCTTTTTAAGTCTATTGTAGTCTAGGCCTCAATGAGATTCCATGCAATGCTTTTCACAGTGATTTACAATGTAAACCCGTAAAAGTGGTTGTGGTTTTTCGAGATCATTTTACAGAGCTCAGCACCGTGTAGACAACTATCGTTGTTTCCTTTCGAAATTGACGTTAATGTCTAAGCTAAATTAAACGTTATAAGTTACGAAAACATTCATATAAGGCATTGTTTTATTTTTTCAGAAATGTTTATGTTTAAAATGTTTATGTTGTTACGAAATTTAATGTTATGTAAACTAAAGATTCATCACATCACTGTACGATTACGGTTGCGGGTTCCGATGAGTACGGTTATGATTTCTTTAGGATAAGTTCGGTCGATTGAGGTCATATTAGGTAAGGCCAGTTAAGGTTTTTAAATTAAGCTTAGCGAAACTAATTTACACAACGAAACACTTACAGTAATCATTGTAGCATGTGATAATTGAACCAGCAACTATATTTTGAGTAACATCAACAACATCGCCAACATAGAGCTTGGTTGTACACACACCATCGGCAAACTTGAAAGCGAAGCAATTTTCTGCCCTACAGGCTGAGAGGCATTCCTATGAAAAATTTTTGAACGAAAATTAATTGTTCTATTTAGGCATAGACAAATACACATACGCAGATGCAGATACAGATACGGATGTGTATGTGGATGCGAATGTGGATATGGATATGGATGTGAATATGGATATGGATATGGATATGGATATGGATATGGATATGGATATGGATATGGATATGGATATGGATATGGATATGGATATGGATATGGATATGGATATGGATATGGATATGGATATGGATATGGATATGGATATGGATATGGATATGGATATGGATATGGATATGGATATGGATATGGATATGGATATGGGTATGGGTATGGGTATGGGTATGGGTATGGGTATGGGTATGGGTATGGGTATGGGTATGGGTATGGGTATGGGTATGGGTATGGGTATGGGTATGGGTATGGGTATGGGTATGGGTATGGGTATGGGTATGGGTATGGGTATGGGTATGGGTATGGGTATGGGTATGGGTATGGGTATGGGTATGGGTATGGGTATGGGTATGGGTATGGGTATGGGTATGGGTATGGGTATGGGTATGGGTATGGGTATGGGTATGGGTATGGGTATGGGTATGGGTATGGGTATGGGTATGGGTATGGGTATGGGTATGGGTATGGGTATGGGTATGGGTATGGATATGGATATGGATATGGATATGGATATGGATATGGATATGGATATGGATATGGATATGGATATGGATATGGATATGGATATGGATATGGATATGGATATGGATATGGATATGGATATGGATATGGATATGGATATGGATATGGACATGGACATGGACATGGATATGGATATGGATATGGATGGGGATGGGGATGGGGATGGGGATGGGGATGTGGATGTGGATGTGGATGTGGATGTGGATGTGGATGTGGATGTGGATGTGGATGTGGATGTGGATGTGGATGTGGATGTGGATGTGGATGTGGATGTGGATGTGGATGTGGATGTGGATGTGGATGTGGATGTGGATGTGGATGTGGATGTGGATGTGGATGTGGATGTGGATGTGGATGTGGGTGTGGCTATCAAGCAACGTTTAGCGGGTTTAGGGGGCGGAGCCCCGGGAATAACGCCTATCACCTTTATAAAGAAATATAATTTATATAGAAAATATACTTTTACCAGAGTCCGCCGTACCTCTATTTCCGCAATCGTACTCGACTTTATTATGACGCCCCCCCCCCCCCCTAAACTGCTCTTTATTTTCAAAAGGAAGTCATTAATGAATGTTCCAAAAAAACTGGGAATTTTGGTTGAATAACAAGGATCAATTTGGGGTTAGAAGACTATCAGATTTCGGGACGGGCATAATGGGATATTTTTTTGTGTTGTACAATGCTGTAGACAGACCTTTTCCAAACGGGAAACTAGATCGTCTTGCTTAAAACATAGTTATATATTCAGATAACTATGGATATGTATTATGATATAAATATTGATTTTGGTAAGTACGGTAGTATGGATATAGGTATGCACTTTAAATACATTACCAGGGCTGATGTAGCGTTTCGGGTTTCAATTATTCCACTTGATAACGGAACACAGAGTGCTTAAACAAATTACAAGATAATTTGTAATCAAATTATTTTTAAAATAGTATTATTTGGAAAAAAATGTGTCATACAAATTCAGTGTGTAATATAACTATAAATACATACGACAAAGGAACAGCGTATGCCCATATTCATTTACTACGACTCATGAAATACTTACTGTTAAAAGCATATACTTATACAAATTTAAAAAAAAATAATATACTTTACGCAGAAAATTTATAAGTTACATAAAATAATCTAATTCTACTCTACTAAGATGTGTTTTTATTCAGAGTGTTTTCCAGGCATCTATTCGGGGGTCTCCGCCCACCACCCCACACCTCTCCCCCCTCAGAACGTCTACGTAAAACGCAGTAAACTGTTTACTTTATCATTTATCTCTTTGTATACGAGCTTGATAATTATTATACATTGTGGCCGAACTTAAAAGCAAGAAATGTTGAGTGGTGTTTATTGGATGACCTACCATCACACTTTGTTCGGTCCGTGCTATTTACGGCGAATCCAGGTCTACATGAACAAGTGAAGCTTCCGTCTGTGTTGGTGCAATTATGTTGACATGGGCTTGGTTCAGCATTGCATACATCGATGTCTAGAACTTATGTTTGCAGGCAAAATGTATCATTGAGCCGAGTTAATTATGCATTTCAAATAGTATAATATTTATATTTTTTAAGAACATTTATAAGGAAATATAAAAGTGTTAAATTCTGAGACTTACCATCACACTGTGTGGGGTCTGTGCTACTTATGACGTATCCATCATAACATGAACAGGTGTAGCTTCCAATGGTGTTGGTACAAACCTGTTAACATGGACTTGACTGACCATTGCATTCATCGATGTCTGAAATGGTTTGAACAATAGAAATTTTCGACTAGTACGATACGATACGCAGAACATGAAAATGCTTTTTTTAAAAAAAACTTTAATTTTGGAAGGCTGCAAAAAGAACTATCGCAATGATACAGTAACACAGGATAGCTAAATACCTGTGAAATATATTTGCTTATAACATAAGATCATTTTTACAATAATCGAGATCTGCTTAAAGGGTCTACTTAAAATATGTGTGATCGCTAAAGCGTGTATCCTCGGTCCTACCATAAAATTTTACGCTGCTCTTTACTTGGGAAAACTATGTTAATTAATTCATCGATTTTACAATATCGATATTCTTACCTAGACATTTAGCAGGGTTGACGATATATCCTGGGTTGCACGAACACACATTCTGTCCATTGACCACCCTGGTAATTTGCTGGCAGCGACACTTGGCTAAAACAAAGTAGCATTCGTTGTTAATATCCGTGTAATGTCTTGATACTAATGGTTTATGCTATTACATAAAATGACTTAACTGACGATAGTTTGATCACATAACTATCAATTTTATTTTAGCTTTTCGAAAGTACCAACTATCTAAACGTTGTATAGCCCGAAAGAACCGTATATGACAAACAGCAATAGACAAGAACAATTTTCCAATACAATAAACCATTTCGTTATAGGCAAATCACCCTACATGTATCTTCCAAAAAATGGAGGTTTAAGATCATGATTTTATTAAGATTTCTTAAAGCTAAGTATGCAATATTTTGTTTTAAAAATAACCTAGTTATAATTATTACTTTCTCGTAAAGAAAGTATTGTAAACGTGCAAAAAAAAAAATCGAGATTTTTACAAATCTCGACGTTTTACACCTCACTGATACGGAAAAACATAATTTTGCAATCTTTTCCGTATGTCTATGTGTCTGTGTGTCTGTGTGTAAACACGATAACTTCAGTACCGTTACAGCTAGGTTGATGAAATTTCATATATAAGTATTTTATCAAAATCGTAGATCCGTATCAATTTTTGAGCGATTTCCGATAACCGGAAGTGGTACTTTTTTTTACTCTGAATTTTTCAAAAGCTGATCACTTGAGTACTATTTCAAATAGATAAATAAAATATCACCTGTAACTAAAAGATCTATTTCTCTACCTTCTGTCAAATTTTGAGTAATTTCCATTGACCGGAAGTAGTAATTTATGCTATTTCCAATTTCTCAAAAAACGCAAGATTACAAGACTTTCTCTATACTTCGTATATAGTAGAAAGTAAAAATGCACTAAAAATTAGTCGAGATTTGTGAAAATCACGATTTCGATTTTTTGCACGATTACAATTCTTCAATCTATACAGAGAAAATCTTAATGTCGTCAAACTACAACGTTGAATTGGTTACGTTTGTTTCAGTTTATTTTACTATTTCAACTTTTTTTCTAACGGTGTGATCGCAATAAACTCACCTTGTGCGTATGACATGCACATAAACACTATGGCTGCAATGTTTACTTTTGCAAACTTCATCATGATACAACTTATAAGGTGATATAGATATATATCTGTGATTGAAACAAAATTAGTAATAACAATGAAACATGATAAACAGACACACAAACACACACACACACACACAAACATATTATATATATATATATATATATATATATATATATATATATATATATATATATATATATATATATATATACATTTTAAAATAAACATATCGCAGACCAAATAAAACGAGCACAAGTACGTATTAAAAGAGCTTTGTTCAAAAGCGTGAATAAGTAACCTACTTATATCAACCATAATCATTTAACACCGCGTACGATAAATATTATTGTAAATTATGTTTCCAACGTCCTAAAGAGATATACACATTTTTATAATTAAAAAAAATGTTTCTAATGTCATCACGTTTTGTTTAAATTTAGTCAGTTAAACTAATTTGTTAAAGTGATTTTCATCTACATTGCTTAAATAATTCATAACTGGTTGTTTTCGACTATTATATACACTTCCGATAAAATATTGTAAAAAATTGTAACAAAATGTGTGAAACCCTTCATTGAATAAATTAATTTTGTGAAAGCTTTTTCAGAAAAAAAGAATCTTAAGTGGCAGGCTGTGGTGTTTACAGAGCAGAAATAATGAGGAAATTGAATTATTTTATAAAAAAATAAAATTGTTTATTTTTCAAATTAACAGTATATAGCAATTTTCCGGATTTAGACATAAGGTCTACCTTAGTGCCCCTTTTTTTCTTAGCCCTCCCCTCCCCACCCCCCGCGAATATTTTTAAAACAGTAGAGAAAGAGAGAGAATCAGAGAGAGAGAGAGAGAGAGAGAGTGTGTGTGTGTGTGTGTGTGTGAGAGAGAGAGAGAGATGGGCGGTTAGATTGACGGATGCACGGACAAAGAGACAGTCTGATAGCTGAGTGGGCGGGTCGGTCGGACGGTTAGTCGGTAGGTCAACGTTCGGTGTTGGTGTGGGGATCCGGACAAAAGGCCGACATGGACAAAAGGCCGACACGGACAAAAGGCCGACATGGACAAAAGGCCGACAAGACAAAAGGCCGACAAGACAAAAGGCCGACTTTGTTTATTAATATAAAATGTAGTGTTTCTTTTTAACAAACAAAAAAAAACTTACCAATATCAGCACACTTGTATCACAATCACAACAGAATTATTGAATCCAACGAATATAGTATACACTTTTTTTACTTTCACGCAATTCGCAATGGACGAAACTAAAATATAATTCAAAGTTTGTCGGTATTTAACATGTAGTCCAGTAAAGGCACGTGATCGTTCTACTTCATTCGGTTTCTTTGCAAAATATGGCTATCCTTTGTACACTCCCGTCCTCTCCAGACGCATGGACCCCATTGTTCACCTTATAAGGATCGCATCTAGCATTGTCTCTTGGCGTTCCACCTTGTTGCATGTGGGCGATGATGCGACGGCTTGTGACTTGGTTCTTTGATGATTGTCTCACCTCGTTGTCATAGAAGGAGCAATAAAAGACAGTAGTGACCGCATTTCGCAATATTTAGTTGTTGATCCTTTGTGTTTAAGACACTCCCGTAATCTTCAATCGCTTGGAGCCGATGGTTCACCTTATAAGGATAGCAACTAGCATCGTCTCCTCTCTTGAATGTTTCACCTTATTTCATGCCTTTTTTCGATAGTTGTCAAGATAGCAGCTATGCAGTAACATATATTTTGCGAAATTAGTATTTTTTATGCTTGTCGGCCTTATGGCTGTCGGCCTTATGTCCTGTCGGCCTTATGTCCTGTCGGCCTTTTGGCTGTCTGCCTTATGGCTGTCGGCCTTATGTCCTGTCGGCCTTTTGGCTGTCTGCCTTATGGCTGTCGGCCTTATGTCCTGTCGGCCTTATGTCCTGTCGGCCTTTTGGCTGTCGGCCTTTTGTCCATGTCGGCCTTTTGTCCGTGTCGGCCTTTTGTCTTGTCGGCCTTTTGGATGTCGGCCTTTTGTCCTACACCCGTTGGTGTGGGTGTAGGCGAAGGCGAACGCGTAGGCGTAGTCGTGCAATCCACGTCTGGTCAAATTATCTGTGATAACATAGCCCGTTGTGGACCAACTGCCTGTGTACAAGCATTCGCTATAGTTAAACAACAGGTGTGCCAATCATCTACGGCCGAAGCACCTTCTCTCAACAGCATCTACGAATGTTTAATCAGCAGATTTTAGCAATTTACTATACTTACCCGTCATCCCTTGGATAACTGTGGGTTTCAGGGGTCATCCATAAATGACATCACGTCTGTCACTTATCATCACAAAAAAACCAGACCCCCACATTTAAAAAGACGTTTTTTATCTTTTAAAAACACCGATTTCGGCTGAGCATAGGTCTGACCACACTATCCCTTCATATACTGACGTCACAGGTGACCTACTCAACTCTACTTCACCTGCCCAATGTCCCGCCAAGTGTCAGACAACATGTTTTTATCGTTAAAAAACGATTCCGGCCGAGCATGTCTCTGACCACACTATCCCTTCATATGCTTAGGAAAAAGAAAGAGATGAACTCTACTTCACCTGCCCTGTATCCCGCCAAGTTCAGATAGGCAACTTTATCATTCACATCCAAAAAAAACATTGAATTTTTTTTTAACATTGACGTGATGTGTCTAGAACCCGTGCCACCCGCATGAAAGCCTATTACACTAACAACTTAGCTATCTAGACTCGTGACGTCACTGATGTTTTTTTTTGTGCTATATAATAATACTTTGAGTCTCCTTATGCAACTTGATTTACACGCATCTAGATCTAGATCTAAGTCTCGTATCTTTCAAATTAAATTTTATCTTAAATTAGCCAATTCCATAGCTAAACAAACAAAGATTGGTATAAAATAGTGAAGGTCTAAAATAGTTTACCATAGAAACTCATTGTTATCTAGATCTAGCAAGAATTATCTTGATTCTACGGCTGGTTTGCTTAAGTCTAGTTCTAGTAGTCTAGTCTTTGCGTAACTCTTGCTAGATCTAGATCTAGATAAGACCTATTCTAGATCTAAATAGATAAATCACAAAGATTTATATCAAGTAATTAAGGACTAAAGTAGTTTAATAAAGAAACTCAAAAATGTATTATGATTTTAAAATGGATTGTATTTTTAACTAATTAATCTTTGGTTTGACCTAGATTCTAGATCTATAAATAACTTTCTTGGACAGATTGTAAAGCTAGAGAAATTTATTCTAAAACTAAATGAAAAAGACAGTTGAAAATTGATATAAGTGTTAGAACGTAATAAATACAGCAAACGGACGTATTGTTAAAGTTATAGCCGACAGAAAATTAGCTTTAGAACGCGTTAAACATTGGAATGGGAACACAAGCTTCTTCAATAGAAGCCGCCATTTATTGTACTAAAAAGTAAACAAATCATGTGACGTACTATTCCCACAAAGTAAAGTCAATGTTTTAAACTTTTAAAATTAATGTGGTTAATCTACCTATGAATAAATCAATAAATTAATTATTATCTTTAAATAAATTTGTGATTAACAGTCTGTCTGAAAACAAAAATTGTTCTCTACCTACATACTATTTTACAGCTCTCCACATAGAGCAGATTCTCTCCAGTAGTTGAATCAGACAAACGAAAAAAAAACAAATAAATTTTCAAACATGTAAACAAACTTGAGTTTTAGTATTATAGAGATGTTTCTATGCATTTTAGAGACAGCGGTGGCATTCGTTTTTTTTTTATTAAAAAAATACATAAATTAGGATGAAATATATGTTTATGTATACACAGAAAATCATACACACTTAAACATACAAGCATGAACATACACATTGTCATACTCATAATTGCCGAAGGATCTGTGTTTTAGTTTCTGTGTGTAATTTTTTTTTTGACTGCGCTTTTGTCTGTGTGCGAAAATGTATCTGTGTGTATTTTCTTTGTGAGGAGAAATCTCTTTTCTGAGTGTGCAGATTCATATTTCCGCATTTTTCCTTTGTCCATTTTTCTCCTTGCGCATTATTCCGTGGCGCATAATTTTGCAGCTTTTCTTTGTGCATTTTTCCGTTGTTGTGCATTTTTCCGATCACCGTGCCGGCCATGTGCTTGAATTTCAAAAACTTTTCGTGCCCAGTTAAATTTTTGGTCAGAGTTTACTTAAAGAAAGATGGATAGCCTAGCGCCTTACTTTAAGATAAAAATGAATACATGTTATTTAGCCTTAGGTTATTTTTATTTTTCGAGTCCGTACGTGTGTACTGGTGTGATTTATATTTTTATGATTCGAAGTATGACACCGCAATTGGTTACACAATTTATGTTACCTGAATGAAATTGGCGTAAATTCACATTGCAATTTAAGACGTTATTAAAAATGTTATTCAATTTACTGTAGACAAGTAATTTACATATACTGTCACTTAAGATTTTTGGGATTCACTAAAGACTGTGTCGGCGTAGAGGCTTCCTTGCGGAACAAGCTTCACGACATTGTTTCAGAAGTACAAATGAGGAGATGGAGATGGCTGGGGCATGTCCTTCGCATGAATAAAAGAAGACTCCCGAACATAGCACTAAAATGGACTCCATCTGGAAAACGAAAGAGAAGAAGACCACTCGGAACATGGAGTGCAGGCTACTGGCAAGACCTGGCACGAATTGAAGTGGCTTGCTCGGGAATAAAAACCGCTTGCATACATTAAATTGTTATTTTTCTTTTAAATAATAATTAAATATAGAAGAAGCCGTAATAACGCATTAAAATAACACTCTACGTCAATATTGATATACAAGTAGACCTAAGTAAATAAGACAACATTTCGGTGCCTCGACGATCGATATCGCAGATGATGTAGAGTTTCTGTGAAGTTTGGCACAAGAGGTGATAATGTGGTCAGTTTTATGCACAAAAATCTCTATTTGCCCTACCTTATGTTAAGCGTTGATTAGAGCTTGTTGGACCAGAACATGGGATCCGATACTCTAAAGGGCTCTTCCTGCAGACCACGCTGTCATAATACAGACTTTTCAATTTGAATTTTATTTTATTTTGCTTGAGATGGAAATTTCATAATGGCACTCTTCCAATAGAAACACAGCTCTCCATATACAAATTCAAAACTTTGCAACCTTGAAACCGCCATGATATAAAATCGATATAAAAATACAACAGAGCCCCTATTTTTACAATATTTTGAGTACAATTCATAACAAAAGCAATTTACTTGTGATAACAAAACAATTCAGTCTCTCTGTGGTACAATTCATCTTGACTTTATTCACTGATGGTGCAGATAGGAACAGCATATGTTGTCGAACATCATGTCGATTCGTCACTTTGGAAAACGACACGTCTAGTGTTAAATGCACTGACTCAGCAGACGACCGTCCCGCCAAACTCAAAGAATTAAAATCGTTCGCACGATAACCGTTTGATCGTTAAAGTCGCACTGCCGCCCAGGGGATTTCACTCGTTTCTAAACCGCAGAGGGGCGCAACTCTTGGGTCGGAGAAAATTCTAGTCCTCTAAGACATTAAGGTTAGACTTTTGTTAAACTTTTAAAGCTAATGGTTAATTTTGTGGGGAAAATTTATTCATCGGAATAGATTCCTATCAACTCGTTATCGATTTAACTCGAAGTTAACTCAGAATTACTGATTTTGTAAAGATACTGGTACTAATTAATTATTCATCCTTAATACTTATTTTAATAAACTTGATCTACACTTTTATGCACATTCATGTAAATACAGTCGCAGATCATACCCCTAAATCTTACGTCTAAGCTCAACTTTGAGAAAAATCACATTTACAGTTTCTTTCAGAACCTCCACCGCCGACCCCCCCCCCCCCCCCCCCCACCCACAACAAAATAGAAATTATATAGAAATTATATTATATTTTACCAATGTCTACCTTCCCTTCCCTCGGATAAAAATTAGTTGTCGCCCCCTCCCCCCCCCCCCCAAAGAAAATTCAAGTCCCCTTACACAGAGTAAAATGTCTGAAAGAAACACTGGTCGCAGATCATACAGACTTAAGGTAGACACTACTACTCTAATCTAATCATGCAGACTTCGGTTTTTTTTTTTCAGATATTTTTTCCTGGGTGGGTGGGAGTGGGGACATTACTTAATATTTTCGGAGGTTGGTGGACGTACTAAATTTTTTGCACAAGTATATAAGTTTATAAGTTTATATATTTTCTATATATATAGATTTCGCCAAAGCCCCCACCCCCATTCTCATTTCAAGTTCATTTTTAACATAATGCTTGTTACTTAAACCATTTTTATGCATTATTTAAATCTAAAAACACTTTATAACATTTTTTGAAGCATTCTTCTTTTATTCAAGATAAATGGCCCGTTGAGAGAGAGAGAGAGATACAACGGGCGCAAGGTTGATAATGTTGACTATTTCTATAAAAACAAAACTAAAGTCACCACCTCAACTTCAAATTTAAACTGAAACGATATATATATATATATATATATATATATATATATATATATATATATATATATATATATATATATTTGTTTCCACATGATAGAACACGCTTTTATTTCATTGATTAAGTGATGCTCTGGTATGCGTTATGTTAATTACTCAAACCAATTATTTCATTTGAACAAGAATAGATGTTGGGTTTTTACTGTAGACAAGTAATTTTCATATACTGCCACATAAAATATACTAACACACACATACAACATACACGAACACACGCATCGCTCTCTCTCTCTCTCTCCCTCTCTCTCTCACTCTCTCTCTCTCTCTCTCTCTCTCTCTCTCTCTATATATATATATATATATATATATATATATATATATATATATATATATATATATATATATATATAAGTATTTACATACTTTGATAATACTAGGCCTACACTAAGTTTGCTAAATCGTCTAAAATCCGCTTGCATATATTTCATTTAAAGTGCTATTTTCCATTCAAATACTAGGTAAATATGAAAGAAGCCATATTAAGGCATTAAAATAACACTCTATGTCAATAATTGTATACAAGTTTGGCACAATTAGTTATAATGCGGTCAGTTTTATGCAAAACAAATCTGTAGTTTCCCTACCTGATGTTAAGCGTTGATTAGAGCTTGATGGACCAGAACATGGGATACGAGCACCTGTCTTAACAGTCACGGGCTCTAGCTACAAACCACGCTGTCATAATACAGACTTTATATTGTGTTTCAAGCTTTGTGAAATAGAATTTTATAAATATACAACTGTGCCCCTATTTTACAATCAACTTACTTGTGATAACAAAACAATTAAGACTCCCCGTTGTATAATTTTGACTTTAATCACTGATGGTGCACTGATGGTGCAGATAGGAACAGCATATGTTGTCGAACACCATGTCGATTTGTCACGTTGGAAAATCAACAAGTCAAGTGTTGTATGCAATGACTCAGCTGTCGACAGGTGTTCAAACATTATGTAAAACAATTAGCGCAGCTGGAAATAATTTATGCTCGTACAATACGATAAGAAAATTACAAATGCATTTGTTGAATGGTTATCAGATATTTTGTGCACGCCTATAAGAATATATCACCCGCAGGACCAAGTTTAAAAATGAGGCCCAATAGCTGTTGACAGTAACTCTTCTAGGAGGGACAACTCTAAGATCAAATAATGGCTGCATTACTGACGCATAATCAGTTGACACGTATATTTGTGTTGGAGGTACTCTCCAATACTAATATTAATAAAATACTTAAAAAAAACTTTTTAAAAAACCACGTTTTTCTTGTGGACTAAAAAGTAGAAAATAAAATTTTCTTTTGTGCTTCCTCGAGCTGTGCAGGTTCTTGTGATGACTGACAAAAAACGTGGGTACGTTCACCATCAAATTTCCCGACCCATCTGCCCGACCCACGTTTTTTGTCAGTCATCACAAGAACCTGCACAGCTCGAGGAAGCACAAAAGAAAATTTTATTTTCTACTTTTTAGTCCACAAGAAAAACGTGGTTTTTTTAAAAGTTTTTTTTAAGTATTTTATTTTCTCCTTTTTAGTCCGTTGCTACACATGAAAAACGTGGTTTTTAAAAAAGTGTTTATAAATACACGGACTAAAAACTTGAGCGACCAGGATTCGAACCTGGGTTGTCGCGGCCACAACGCGAAGTACTAACCACTATACGATCACGGCCAGCGCGCTCACATCGATTGGGGCCGAAGTAACTGGGTCAATAGGCCTCCAGTCTTGTCGGTATCTTTAGAAATCATGTCCTCAATTTTATGGTCCTTGGGGCGTAATTAAATTAAGCTAATTACGGTCACTAATTGCTAGTTTTTATGATTGCATCTGAAATTGTTAGGCGAAAGTAGCATGCATGCCAAATTTCAGGTCTATAGAGCAATCAGAAGTGGGCTAATTTTCGATGTCAATTTTAACAACAAACATCCAAACAAACAAACAAACGCGAAGCTGAGTTAAGAAAAACGTGTTAAAAACGCAGAAGAATAAGAAAGAAAGAATAGCAACTACTTAGAATACAATAAATGACTATATCTTGTGTGGATCACTTCACATATCAAGCAGTATAGTAAGCTAGGTTGAAAGAACCGACATTTACATTAAAAGCTGAATCAGAAAAACCAATTACGCACTAAACACCCTCCAAGAGCACTGCCTACGCTTTCCAAACGACATCTCTATCCACACTATTACATGTCTTCTTTCCAAACGACATCTCTATCCACACTATTACATGTCTTCTCAAAATTGAGTGGCTATGTGGTCAGCACATGAAAATGTTTTGTCAAAAACCTGAATGTTGTTCGGGTCTTAATTTCTTGTCCAACTCCTCATTCAGCCTATACAGCATAATTCTCGTGAGTACCTTGCCAGGGGAAGATAATAGTATGATTCGTCTCTAATTGTTGCTTTCACAAAATGTCACCTTGTCTGGTAGCTTTATGAGATACCGGTTTCCAAATTGTAGCCACTTGTTCCCAAACCTTCAGCATAAGCGAATGTACATTAATATAGACTGCTAAAACCACGCCTTTCAAACGTCATCAGTCCCCTACCCTACAGTGGCTAACCAACAACAATTTCTTGACTCCACCTTTACACGCGAACTGTATTCCGCGTGGTCTTGACTCTCAAGACACCTCGCAAGCACGTGTTCATTTCAGTGGCGGAACTAGAAAAAAAGGGCCACCCCGCAAAAAATAATTCTGGGCCCATCTATATATACATATATATATATATATATATATATATATATATATATATATATATATATATATATATATATATATATATATATATATATATATATATATATATATATACATATATAAATATATATATATATATATATATATATGTTACGCTGAGTGAGTGTCTTTGGTTATTTGATCCAATACCATTTTATCTTAACCACTACCATGTGGAGATGTGTCCACAGACATACATTGTACCATCATTCACTAAGACGACGTGGACGACCAACAATCAATGAGAGGAACTCAGGCTTCTTTTCTTATCTTTAATTCTGTACTCTCAACTCACATACATCCTTCCACCAAGGCGAAGAAAATCATACTAACTCACGCACAATACCTAGCAACCAGTCTCTACACCAGAACGTCACTGTCGCACCATACGCGTCATCATTCCTTGCGTTCAACATACCTTTCGCACCAACATTCATTCGCGCCAATCTATAGCATAGATCCTAACATGCATCATAACATTACCCCCCTCTCCCACTGAAGCTAATAGTATTAGCTTCTACTCACGTAGCCAAGTATAACACATTGTTTAACCTAACAATATCAACTACGTCAGTATATCATTAACTCCTAATTAATTCATACATTCAAGCTTTTAGCTTTACTCTCACAACAGATTATTGTATTCCAAATATACTGGCATTCATATTATATCTTAGAATCTCAGTCCATCCAGACAAGGTATCGGGTATCACATCGGCATTGTCCATCTTCTCCCAAACAGTTGCTAAAATAAATATAAAACCAAACGCCACATTAGTTTAACCCAGCAATATTTGTGATAGCGAACAGAGCCACAGTACCACCACTTGGCACATTTGTGGTTGTTCTCATTATAACATAAAAACAAAATAATATGTCAATATCATAATCAGTTCCAATATTCTGAAATAAAAAAAAATTAAGTATCATGTCTTAATATCATATCACTCGATGGCCCCGCACACACAGAATCTCATTATCTCCACAATATGTCCGTACAAGTATATCAGATTTATCAACAACCTAGAACCAACATGTATTCAAAATATCTTTGGTAACATACTATATTATGAACTCAACACATCTTACAACATGTAAACGTTAACTTCAACATTATAACCGTAATTATAAACACCTCATGATAGAATATGTGGTCTATCACATTTTATTAAGTAGTTAAGAATCATGCATATTATCTCACACCATATTGTTTCATATTTAATCAGTGAGATCCACTTTATTTCATCACTCAATAACTAGGCAATTTTAAAAGTAATCATATAATAATCATATCTCTAAAAGTCATTCCAAATACGTTCCTTACACTCCCATTCAATTAGCGTAGTTCACATTGTAATCCAGTAATTCATCATCCCACAATAAACATTTCTTATACAACCAACTAACTTCACCATAATACATATGCATCTCTAGTCATATCTGTATGACCTTTATCAGTATCTTCATGCATCAACAGAACCTATATGTGCTTTATTATGACCTAGATAAAATGTCAGCTATCTGATTTTGTGTACCTGGGATATAAACTATGTTAAACTTGTAGTCCTGTAGTAGCAATGCCCATCTTTTTAATTTAGCATTGCTTAATTTTTTCCTTTCCAGGGCAACCAGGGGTGAATGGTCAGTCATTAACATAAAAGGTGCCCCTAATAGATATTTTGATAACTTGGTTATTGCCCAAACTATTGCCAAGCATTCCCTTTCTATTATGGTTCTTTTCTGCCGGAGAGAGTTTCCGACTGATGTACAGTACAGGATGTAAGTGTCCGTCTACTTCCTGCATTAAACAGGCTCCTATACCATAAGAAGATGCATCCGTTGTTAGTGTAAACTAGAATACCCGTCATCCGTTGGATAACTGTGGGTTTCGGGGGTCATCCATCAAAAAACATCACGTCTGTCACTCAGAGGCATAGCGACCCTTCCCGGCGCCCGGGGACAAACTTTTCGATTTTAACCCCCCCCCCCCCCCAAGATTTCGATTTTCAACCCCCCCCCCCCTCAAACTTTTGATGTGCACCCCCCCCCCCCCCCACTCAAACTTTCGATTTGAACCCCCCTCAACCTTTCAATTTATTTTTCCAAACCATTTTGGCGCCCCAACATATGTCCCCCCCCCGCCACCCCCCCTTCCCCTCCCCCCGCCTCCCCTCCCCCCCCCCGCCTCCCCTCCCGCCACCCCCCCCCCCTCCTCGCTACGCTACTGTAGTGTCACTTATCGTCACAAAAAACAGACCCCACATTCAAAAATATGTTTCTTATCTTTTAAAAACACCGAAAACACCGATTTCGGACTATCCCTTCATATACTGACGTCACAGGTGACCTACTCAACTCTACTTCACCTGCCCAGTGTCCCGCCAAGTCTCAGACGACATGTTTTTATCGTTTAAATAACGATTCCAGCCGCGCATGTCTCTGACCACACTATCCTTTCATATGCTTAGGACAAAGAAACAGATGAACTCTACTTCACCTGCGCTGTATCCTGCCAAGTTCAGATAGGCAACTTTATCATTCACATCTAAAAAAAAAATTGAAAAAAAAAATCATTAACATATTGGTCTAGAACCTATGCCACCCGCATGAGAGCCGGCAACGCTACCAACTTAGCTATTTACTCGTGACGTCAACCGTGAATTTTTATACTATACTATGAGTCTCCTTATGCAACATGATTTACGCGCATAGATCTAGATCTAAGTCTAGTAGTAGTAGTAGTAACTTTCAAATTAAATTTTATCTTAAATTAGCCAAACAAAGATTTATATAAAATAAAGAAGTTCTGAAATTAGCTAGATCTAGATAGAATTATCTAGATCTAGATTCTACGACTCGCTTGCTTAAGTCTTAAGTTTAGTTTTTCTTGCTAGATCTAGATCTAGATCTAATCATTAGCTACGCTGATAGGCCCGGAGCGAGCATTTCAAAATTACCATATTTAAAACAAAGATTTATATAAAATAATAAAGGTCTAAAATAGTTT